AAATGAAGGGGGGGGGGGGGAGGTCGAAAACTGAAGTGGTTGAAAACTAACATAGGCCTAGGTAAAAAATTAGCGACTTAGGCCTAGGCCTACCCTAATGATAGCTAGTTACAAAACCTGTAGGGGGCACTGTTCATTGGCGATACAAACATCGTGATAGAAAATAGTGCCTGATGGAGATAGGATACCCTATGTATTAAATGAGTATTTCGCGGAAGAATATCACAATTTGGCCAAATTACTTCCAGACAACTCTTCAGAAATAAATTCCTAACCTACTGTACCGTCTATAAATGCTGCACGTTTTAGATGCATCTGACGCATCCTGAATACGTCCATGACGCGTCCTGAATACGTCCGAAATCTGGACGCGTCAAACGCTAATAACGGTTCAGACAAACTGTTTATTTGACTCAGGCTTGTCAAATTAACAATTAATTAACAAGTCATCATCAACGCAGACCAAACTACAAACAAGTAACGAACGTATCAAACGAAACAGACACTCAACAATATTCTACACTACTATGGGAACTGCAGAACTCTGCATCTGGCAACAGCCAAAATTCCCGTTGCCAATGGTGACTGTCTCAGTTTAACAAACCTGTTATCTTTTAGGTAATAATAGCACAACCGCGCCTCTGATGAGAAACCGGGTTGCTTGAAACTTGAGTCTCTTGTTGGTAATTTCCTCTGCAAATCCTCCTAATTATGCACTTGTCAATTGTAGTCCCGGCCCCCGGAAGCTGGGCCATAGCAGGGCACTAGCCGGGACTGAGCCAGGGATGTACATATAATTGTGTCCATGTAGTACCGAGACGTACAGTACCTAAAATTGGCCTCGAAAGGACCAAGGCTTCGGTGTAGTGCTGTCAAATAGTCTGGTCCTACCTATCCTACCCTAGGCTTTCAGCAATTGCTGTGTGTTTTGGTAATTTAAAAATCGCAACCGGTACTATAGGCCTACCATCATGAGAGAAGAGAGAGAGAAAGCGGGACTACAATTGATAAGTGCATAAATAGTGCGACAACCTCACCTTTCCTCCGTGATTATAATGAGTCGATTGTCGACAAATGATACCGTGATTTAAAATAGCCCATCGGTTCGTGATACCCCGTGATTCTTTTATTTTTACATTTTCAGCCAGAATTATCGTGGGTGTACCTTAAACGTAGACCTACACTGTATGGCAGGTTTTTATTTTAGCACGATATCATACCAGCATCCACCCGCATGGGACGCCTGACACACTGCTCTAGTCTATAAATACCTGACAAATGCAAAGACCCTGTGCACACAGCCATCATATAATAGTTCAGTTGGACAAAATAAGATGTCTGTAATTGAAGACTAGTAACTAAACTACAGCCATAGGCCGAATTCTTCAAAGACGACCTAGGGTATTTTTTGTGTGGTGAATGCTGTCAGCGACACAGAAAGGCTTGTTAAATTGGGTTCATAGTAAATAAAACATCATTCCCTTCGAAGAGATGCATTAAATTTAGGATTGATAGCTGTGCAATATTGTACTAACAGACTGAGAAGATTTATTCACAACCCAATTCGCATGTACAGTGCTGATTTTAATAGATACATTAACTCTTGTCAATAATTTTATATTCTGTATTATTTATGTCCATCGATTATTTTGTGTATACTAGTAATTTTTTACTCATTTTGTATCAGGAGACAAATTTTATTTTTTCGTTACAACGTGACAATAAAAGAATCTTGTACTGTTGCTTTACTTTTCTTTTGTTTTGTACATCATTATGCACCGATCTGCTTTACATGCGCCCAATTAAAATCAATAACAACAAGTCGTGCACCAAATCTGACGATCAGTCACACCCTACTGTAGCCCGTTGTTCTCGTGACGCCCAACACTTTAATACATCTTGTGTACATTATACAGTACAGTAATGGCAAAAACTAGTGAAGCACAGTGGTGGATCAGTATTGCGTATCTCGCAATTCTCATATAGTTCAATCGAAAATTATATTTTATTACATAATCATGAATACAGTCATAATACACCACATTGCTTCGATTATTTTATATGACTATTACTATTCACCAGAGACAGCTGTATTGGTACTGTATACGCCTTATAAATCCATTGATTGATTGATATTCTTAAAAATATTTAATGAACAGCAACGAAAATTTAGGAACATAACAAAATAGAGTAGGCCTAAGAGTACCGTCAATCATTTTAAATAGGCCTGTTTGAGATATCATAAGCATTAGGATTTCAACATTAACATAATATTGCCGTAAATGATCAAGGCATGACTTTTTTATGGAAGAATGATAATCTCATTTCATAACATGTATTAATACCAATATATTGTTATAATTAAATACATACAATATAACAAATAATACCCCGACATATATTTCCAACTGCTGAATGACCTAACATTACAATTATTATAGGACTCTTTTTTCACAATTTGCATCAACTCAAGAACTTTGATGAATCCAATCGATCGTCACCCATCAGACAGCCTGTCTGAACATGTTGTTTGGTGAACTATGAACTCGCCGTAGCACGTTTTCATGACACCACGGCGGTAGCATGGATTCGTACTGCATCGACTGTCTCTGCATAAAAAAACCTAATATTTTACACTAGGGCCTACCCAGGGCCCAACTGTACCTGGAACATAATTTATCATAACATAATATACTGCAGTACCACTGTACTTTATTATAAATTTGTATGCTAAGCTACCGTTGTTTTGATTGTATTGGTGATCGTCAGTCAGCGGAGGAAAATGACGTTTTCAAATAATGTATGACTCAAAAACAAAAGTAACTGACGGAATTAGGTTTCCCTGTTACGACGACGACACATGGGGTAAACAATGTTTTTGTTCTGCTGGTGTCTGAGCCCTATAATTAGGCCTAGATTAGGAGATTTCAATGCAATATATTTTACATAGAATCTATCAGTTGATAATAATTATGAAATCTAAAATAATTACATACCAAATTATAATCGTTAGTATTGTTTTAGATGAATAATCAGAGTTAAAAAACTTTTTTTAAACACATAATTATACTGTAAGGGACACGTTTCTTGTATAATAAAAATAAAAGGAATTAACTCCAGCAAAAAACGTAATTAATATTGTAATATCTCCGCTAATACTGGTCTGATTTACATAATTTTTGTTTTAAAATGTTTCATTTAGTTATGTCTTTCTTTTAAAAATAATTTTAAAATAATGTGAGTCATTTCTAATTTTTATGTTTCTAGCTAATGACTAGGCTAGCCTAGGCCTAAGCAATTTATTCCCAATTTTTACGAAAATTATTATTAGATTACCTAACCTGGTTGCTACACAGCAACAAGCACGGATGACTTATATCGCCACACCTGGCTTTTTCTACCTGTACATCATTATAGCATTCATTCTTACACCACTAGCTTAGCCTACTACTACCATGTAGGCCAAACCTAAGCGTAGGCCTAGGAGGCTAGCTGGAGCCAGTCTAGCCTACTAGGCCTAGGCCCAGGCCAGCAGATCATGATATGAAAAAAAATGAGATGCTTCCAAAAAAATGGCTCTTATTTTGTTGACTTACCTCATTATTGAACATTCTAACCGCGTCCATTTTGACTTGAACTAGTTTAAAACCTTCTCCAATAAATAATTCCTATATTAAATATCCATAATGTTGCAAAATTTGTAATATAATGTCAGCCCTCTTTGAGCTGCTGAATTTCAACACGAGGGGACAGAGCAGAGAAAGCGTTCCTTGAGCTTGAGCTTGTGAAGTAGCAAAGTATCTATCACATTATCTGATTGGTTTCATTGGTGGGCATGTCGGAGGACAATCCAATCACAGGAGTTGTTACTTAAAGCTTGTAAAACCAAAGTTATACAATTATAGATGGCGCTATAATAAAAATATAAATACTGTACACTCTTTGATTGAAAGCTGTACTGTAGGATAGGGTAGGTTTGGAGAACTTTTTTCATCTTACAGTAGACCTATTTAAGTCTGTTTCATGTGCTTTGCCTGAGTGTTGATTCTGTTTTTAAGTATATGGTATGTTGTCGTGATACATGGTTTATTCTCCTAAAAACACACATACTTTAGCGGTCCGATGACATTTGTGTTTAATTCTGGTTTAGGCTACAGCCTACAGCAGGTACTGGCTGGTTTGCTTATTAGGGTACGCCTAGGTCTAGGTAGTAGTAGAGGCGTAGGCCTAGCCAAGCCGCCTAGACTAAGGATTAGACCCAGCCATGCTTATGGTAATAATTGAGAGTAGTGCACAGTAGCTTTTTTATTGTTTTTTTCCCAATCAAACGTATTTTCAAATTTCAATATGGTTACATGGCTAGGCTAGGCCTAGTTACTTAATTAATAATTTTATAATAATTACCATATTTACTGTAGGCCCCTAATTCTTCAAATAAATGCCATCATGACCATGCTTTAAATAAATTCCCCCTCATAAGTTTTTATGCACGCAGTAACATGTGTCGTAGTTCCACATTTATAGTGAAATTAAGGAGCGTTAATTTGAATATACGTATCCAATTTACACCAAAAAAAAAAAACGCATCCCTCGAATAAACACCTCCTTCGAATAAACATCCCCTCAAAAACCCTTCTCAACAATGAAGGGCATTTATAGGCCTAGTTACTTAATTAATAATTTTATAATAATTACCATATTTACTGTAGGCCCCTAATTCTTCAAATAAATGCCATCATGACCCTGCTTTGAATAAATTCCCCCTCATTCCCCCTCATTCCCCCTAATAACAGCCTCATTTGGAATAAACACCTCCCTCGGTTAAACGCCTCCGAAATGTTTATTTTTTTGCTTGAATAAACGTCCCCCTAAATCAAATGGCTAAACAAATCTAATGGAAGCAACATAATTCTCAACACATTCTGTTAATGTTCTCCTTCAGTAGAAAGAATTACATTTTTTCCAATCTCGCGGGGATCAATAAGTTTTTATGCACGCAGTAACATGTGTCGTAGTTCCACATTTACAGTGAAATTAAGGGGCGTTAATTTGAATATACGTATCCAATTTACACCAAAAAAAAAAAAACGCATCCCTCGAATAAACACCTCCTTCGAATAAACATCCCCTCAAAAACCCTTCTCAACAATGAAGGGCATTTATATGCGAATAAATATGGTACCTCTGTTAAAAAATGGTCCAGGATTAATATCCATGGTTTTGTGTGAAATATTTTTCTGGAAATATGATATTTCCAGGGGCGGATTTTGGGAGTGGGGGGGCGGCCTGGCCCCGGCTCGCCCTTTTGAGAGGTAAAAAGAAGGAAGAAAAAAGAAAGAAATAGAAAAAAACGATAGCTCAGAACGCCTCAAATGTTATTTTCGGGCGTCTAAAACACAGAAATTTCGCGGGGGCATGACCCCGGTCCTCCTATTTCAGTGTTGTCTCGATCGGCCCAAATTTTGGCCCCCCCTCCCCCTTTTGGACATCTCTGGATCCGCCCCTGATTTCAATGTAAAATGGCCATCTGGACTATAGGTTATATGATTGCAAAAAGAGGCAAAATTAGGCAGTGGATTTTATTGTAAAAAGTGGACCTAGGCTTTAACTTATGGTCAAATTTGTGACAAAATCTTAAAACTGCGTATCTCTGACAACTTCGCAAATTTAAGATATTATTAGGCAACAGAATGATAAATATTCATATTGTACACGGGGGGGTTATTCTTCCATGAGTTATGAGAGTTTCCCAGGAATTGACTGCTGTGACGGTGAGCAAGCGAAAATCTATCAAAAAATAAACTCTCTCCCAAAAATTCATGATGTTTGCATGCTTTTTTACAACAGTTTTATCAATGGTCTCCCAAAACTTAAAAAGTGGGCAGCAAAATATAACTAGATGTGTTATTAGAGAGTTCCTTAAACCAAGTCTGACTCTCTCAGACCTGAGTAAGCCTACGGTGGAGTCTATAATTCTGGGGTGGATGCAGACGGTGCGATCACACTCCCTAAATTGTATGAAGAAAAATAATAATGATTGTATTATATTGTTGATATGATTTACCGTTAAGGTTTTTAAGGTATAAGAGTGCAATTTCTGGGCACCCGGAGGTCCATATTCAGTCCCAGTATTTCACTGTAAACCTGGGTGTTTTTGAGATTAACATTTTTGCCTCATTTTACAATTGTATAACCTTCATAATAAGACAAATGAATTTCACAGTAAGATAGAGGCCTACCCATCTCTGTTACCGAGTTAATTTTCACATTATTAAATAAATTAAAAAATGTTTTTATTTTTCTGCAGAACCCTTTTGTTTCTTTATTTTAAAACTGAAGACTTTGCATTTTACAAGTATGGCGATGGGTCGGAGAAAAATACTAAGGAGGCTAATCATACTTGTTTTCGTGTTGTCATTGTCCGGATGCTTTATAGCAATAATTCATTTAACCAGAATTGAAAGGAAAATAGATGAAAAACGCGAAGCCCATGTTGACAAAGTTGATCTCGGAGTTGATCCAAGAATTCCAAAAGTAGCTACACATATAATTCAACCAAGGAAACCAGTTGGAAACAAAACAAATATTATTGATAGACATTTTGAGAAAGAAAACCCTGTGAGGGTATTGAATAAGACGTCGGCTTATACAACGAATGATAAAGTTCACGCCTTCTACTATCCGTGGTACGGAAATCCAGAATATGACGGAGAGTTCCTTCACTGGGATCACAAATACCTGCCGCATTGGGATAAAAAACAGGCAAAGAAATGGAAATCAGGACAGCATGTTCCTGTTGATGATATCGGCGCTAATTTTTATCCAGAGCTTGGTTGTTATAGTTCTCGTGACCCAAAGGTCATCAATGCACATATGCAATATATGTATAAAGCACGTGTAGGTTAGTAATTTCAATACCTTAAAAGATTTTTGGTAAATGATAATTTAGTAATACAGGGATCCAGGTGGGTTTGTCCATGTTTTTAAATTAAATTATATTCAAGTTTTATTTTTAAAAAAAGGAAATTCAGATTGAAAAGAATTCATTGTGTTTAAAGCCGGGCCCTTACTGCATACGTCGGTCATCGGCAGACGCGATTCTATGAAGAACGCAATGACGCACGTTCAGCAGATCATTTTTAATGACGATTAGTTCAGACCGCCACCGACAATCAGCTGATTGCGTCGTGTCGTCTAGCATTCACAGGGAATGGAGTTTGAGTCTTCATGCGATGGTCGAAATTTAGGAAAAGCACCAAAAATTCTGCAATTTTTGAGAAAGTTTATGTCTGCATCTGCTTTTTTCACTTATTTGCCGAATTTTTCAAACAGTCTAGGTCTTGCTTTGTGACCGTACTGGTCTGTGTACTCATGTATTCTGTAATACAGCCAAACTTCCTAACAGAAAGTAATATAAAGACGAATCTTGAAGATGTCATAGTGAATACGAAGAAACATGTCTGGTTCTATTAAAAGTATATTTGTTGTTCCTAAATTCATCTTTATTACTTTGTGTTCGGCAGTTTGGCTGTATTATACATGTGTTTACAAAGCAAGAACTGCTTGAGAAATTCAGCAAGAAGGTGAAAGAAGCAGATGCAAACATAAACTTTCTCAAAAATTGCAAAAATAACTAAATATATATTATATTGTAATGTCTTTTTGCTGCACATGGTAAGTGTGATACATATCAACTTGGTTTATAAATCTGTAAAATTTGCGTTTCAATCCAGGTGTGCTAGTCGTATCATGGTATCCACCTGGAAAAGCTGACAACGAGGGCCATCCTAGTGATGACCTCATGCCAATCCTCTTGGATGCTGCTCACAGATACCAATTAAAGGTAAGAAAATATATAAACAATAAAAATATTGTTGTTGGGGATAATTAATCAAGCTTGTAAACTTATCAGAAATGTGTAAAGAAATTGTTTCTGAAACTGAGTGTAGAAAAAGACAGAATCCACTCTGATTTCAAATCAATCAAATCAGCCAAACAGGACCCTTTAAAAACCAGCTCATGTAAAAAAATACATCAGAATACTAAAAAAAATTTGGGAGTAGACAGGTTTTTTTTCCCTGCCGTCGCTATCTCAATGATGTAGAAGGTTAGGTTTAACCAAAGAAATAGCATACAGTACTGTATCCCTAGCCACTGCCTTATTTTAGCTATCAATGTATCTATAATCTAATGATCATACCGAGGAGTTGTAATTACTTATCGGAAAACTCTGTGGTCAGCCAACAAAAACACAATTAATTTGGCTCTTGTCGTACGTATGCCTACTCAGAAACTAAGGCCTACTCCGTCTGAAGCTGGTTTATGTATTTTATATTTTTCACATTTCTAATGACTGTACAGTTGTTGTATTCTTTTTCATAGGTTAATTTTTTCCCTCCCCTACTCAGACCCTATTTTTCCAAAATTGCATAGCTGGCTACTACATGACATGCAAAGTTTTATCTACCAAGTTAGAGTGGGTGCAAGTTGTAGCAGGTGCCATTTGATCCTTTTATATGAGGTGTGGGCTTAAAAATCGGTTTGAGAGGCTAATTTAATTTTTGATTTTACACTGCGGGCCACACCCAAACTAAAAACCCTCATACACTGCTTTATACACAGTTTTAACAGAACATTCTACAGATAATCGGTATCGGGCCGTACAAAAATAAGGCTATTTTAGCCAAAGATGGTTGGCTTGCCGTACACATAGGGATTTTAATTCCTTTTGGCGGGCCGCAAAAAAAGGCCTCGTTGGGCCGCACTTTGCCCACCTGTGCCTTATATGAACAATTAAATCTTTTTATTTGAGTTTTAATGAATTGTTTGATTGAACTGCAATATGTTTAACATTTACCAACTGCCCGTGTGGGCAAAAACCATCCTTTGGTGCCCGCGGTCAAGATTTTAGGAAAGAATATTCTATTGATTTAAAGCTGCCTGTGGAGCCTGCATCCACCATCCCCAGTCTGCTTGCTGGCAAAGCCTCTGACAAACCGCATTACTGGCAATCTTTATCTTTATCGGTATCTTTAATGTTTAATTTTTTAATTCTTTTTCATAGGTTGCTATTCACAGCGAACCATATAAGGACAGAGATGAAACCACAGTAAAAGCGGACCTTAAATATATCATGTCCAGATATGGTAATCATCCCGCGCTGTACAGGTACGGCCCAAAATCTCTTCCACTCATCTATCTTTACGACTCCTACCTCACCCCTGCGCGCAAATGGAAGAGTCTTCTAAAACCTGGAGGCCAGTTAAGTATAAGAGGAACAGACCATGATGCGGTTCTTATTGCATTATTGGTTGAAGAGAAACACATGTCTGAAATTTCCAATTCAGGTTTTGATGGGTTGTACACTTACTTTGCTGCGACTGGATTCACTTACGGCTCAACTTATAGACACTGGTCTCGTTTGGCAAAATACGCCACAGAGAAAGGTATGCTGTTTATTCCAAGCATTGGTCCCGGTTACATTGATGTGAACATTCGACCATGGAACGGTGAAAATACACGGTCAAGATCTGATGGTTCTTACTATGAAACCGCTTTTAAAAACGCGCTCCAGACCAACCCAGATATAATTTCAATAACGTCGTTCAATGAGTGGCACGAAGGCAGCCAGATTGAACCTGCAATTCCAAAAAGCATTCCAAAATTTACGTACCTTGACTATGGAAAAAACGGACCTAACTATTATCTAGACCTAACAAGAAAGTGGGTAGAGAAATTTGAAAGTAATACTTACTAAAATTTCTATATTACCAGCTCATAACATTTATATTGGAAATTAGTTGGTTTTTTTAGTACCCCGATGCTCCAAACTTTATGCTCTGGTACCCAAGTTTTGATATCTCACACTAGCTGCAACCCATCTAATAGTTTGATAGTAAGTTGCGTAGCGACTTTTATAAGATGCCCGAAATTTGATACTCAAGTTTTAATAGTGACTTTTCGACATTGGTGTTTACAGTTTTTGCTTATTATTATCAGTGGTGGATCCAGGAATTCATAGTAGAGGGGGCCCTTTCACAAATAGCGGGTGTACCACCTCAGCCCCACCACCATGGTTGGGGCTTAGGTAAGACATTTTATGATTTTGGCACCTCTAGATGGCCGGAAAGGGCACTCTCAGACCTTAATTTGAATACTTTTTTCTCCAGGCAGGGCTCCCACTATACAAACTGAAATTTAAATAGTCCGAAATAATTAAGTAACAGGCTATTAAAATTCACAGAGAATTTGAATCAAAGTAATGTAACAGGTTACGATATTGCTGATATACAAAAAAAATATATATAATATATTCCTGTTTTACTATGAAGGGGGCCCCTCAGCCACTTTTGTGACATGTAATTGATTACTAAAATGTGTGAGCCCACAACACTTTCATTCCGCCGGACCCTGTGTCTCATCATTAAGCCAGTGGTGGTAAATTCAAACTACCTTCCGAATTGTAGTAGAGTGAAGTAGTTCTAATAGATAGATGGGCAAGAGGCCTTCTATCTATTGAATATATGTTCTTGATTCTTCATCAAGGAACAACACTACTGTTTTCAATCGTATTGAAAAGGATTGATCATGTACAAATGATGTTTACCGAAGTCATGTATTTTGGATGTTTGAGTTTTTGAATTTATTTAGCAAACATTGGAGCATTGTATCAAGTCTCCCTTTTTTTACATACACCAAGTTTTCAATTATATATTAATTTTTTAATTAGTACACCGGTTTTTACTTTTTATATAATCTCTTTCCTTATAACACCTGCTATTACATAAGAAATATTCTTTAATAACAAATCTTCAGAATAGATAAAGATGATGATAGTTCAATAATATGTTTGAGATGAACTTTAATTTATGTTCTCATTGGCATCAGAAAGCCACTAGACAGTGATTCAGTTCATTTTTTGGCAATCCTGTCGGGCAACTGGGTGTTGGTTTTTTGCTCTCTGTCTCTTGTCAATTTTAATGTTTTTTGGACGAAATAAATGAAATGAAATGAAAAATAAAATATATGTTATAAATATCATGTTTTTGTATTACCAATATTTTTGGATAGAAATATTTAATAGTTTTGTTTAAAATGTGCAATATGTCTGATTTCGTGAATTTTGCAAACAGAATGATTGTATCTTATTCTAACTGTTAGGCTTAAATTTGAACTTACAAAGTTGGTTATAAACTTTATTATGTAATATATAGTAATTTTCTGTTGTGATAGACTATCAACTACTTTCCTAATCATTAAAAAATACTCTCCAAGGCAACTTTGATTTATGTGCTTTATTATTTGATTCAAGATACCACTATCACTGAGACAGGGTGGGATGGCTGGGGCTGGTGCCACGCTTGGGGTGGGGGCTGGGTACAAAAGAGAAAGAATTTTTCTCAAGGTCTTTTTAATAATATAAATTAAGATAGATTTGGATGCTTTGCCACAAAACTTCCACCAGCACCCTGCTCTTGAATCCCATTGGGGCCTTTGTCGGCATCCATACCCGCTATTTCTGTATTCGAGCATTATTTATTTATTTATATTTATTTATCTACTATATGGCCAACATGCTGACGAATGAAAAAAATAGTAGGGCGCCATCTCGTGGCAGTCAAAAGTGGATGACGTTAACGCGTTTCACCGATTTACAGGTAGGAATTTCGTACTGATGTCTTGGAATATTGTATTCATTAATTCATAATTTTCCTGCTACTTGGTTATCACTCCCTCTAGAATTAAAGATCATACAACAGCTTGTGCTCTTGATAGTTCCCTGTGGAAGTTGGGAACTGCCTGCTTGAAAATCGTTAATGTCCCTTGAATTCCGATCAATTACCTTATTTATAACTCTACAATATCATCTTTTATATAGGCCTATATATATATATATATATATATATATATATATATATAAACAAATAGATAAATAATAATAAAAGTACTCAAATTGGAACATATTGTAATAATCGTATCAAGCGTAGCTTATGAACGCAAAGTTCCTTTATTTCAGTTGTATGAAAAAGTGTCTCTGGCGGGATTCGAACCTGCAACCTCTCGCTGTCAAGGTGAGTATCATACATATTACACCACAGAGACCTATAGGATACACCTGCAGTTCTAACTCCCAGGCACTTTCTCATAAAACTGACTAAAATGCTCTCACATAGTGGAGATGTGGTTAAGCTCTTATAAGTTGCAGCTGGGAAATCATAGTAAATACTATTAAAATCAAGTTTGCTGCATAGCACTGTAAATATATATATATATATATATATATATATATATATATATACATACATACATACATACATACATTATTACTAGCTATTATTAACGATGAGCGCAAAAAAACTTCCATGCAATCAAAGCAATATGTCAAGGACCACAGCGCCAGTTTAAGCCCTATAAAGTATTTTAGAGAGCACTGTATTTTTACGTCATCTGGCCTACCATACAAACAATCTCGCCCAATTAATACGTTGATAATGTAGGCCTAAAAAGTTCCGGGTAATTATCATATATAGATAAGAATGTATGCCAAGTTCACTAATGGTGTATAATTACATTTCAGTATAACAATCTGTTTGAAATGAAAATTGGTTAATATTCAAATGAGAACTGAAAGTTACAGGTAGAATCTAATGTTTGTTTCCGTTCATTCCAGACGATACTAATGACAAGATTTTCTGTATTTTTTAAATTGCTTATTCGAAATCGCAGATAATGCTTTTTCGCGCTCATTAATATAGAAATTGAATTTGTTAGAAAAATTAAGCGTACTAAACTGACGAGTTCTGTGAATTAATTATTTACATATTAGGCCTGTTTTATAATTGACACACATAAACCTACTCTCTCATACACACATCCATCCCATTATAGGCCTATTTGATGTAGAGTATATATACAATACGTGGATAAATGCATCATCTCATTGATGATGCATTAACTTATACTATAACTATCCACAGGTCCAATACATATATCTACTTCTTCTTTCGGCTTCTCCCTTCATGGGTCGCCACAGCAAACAAATCGTCTCCACTTCGTCCTGTTCCTCGCATCATCCTCATCACACCTAATTCTTTCATGTCCTCCCTTATCAATACATACATACCTACGTATATTATAGGAGGCCTATGTAAATTTTCTCCATTAAATTATTATTGGTTATTTGCTGAAATGTATATGTAGGCTTATATAAAAGGCAAAATACTGAAAAACAACAATGCTGAGGGAAATAATGGCTGATTCTCGGCAGAGATACTTGGTAAGCAACAGCCAGAAATTGAAACAGAGCTTTCAAACAACCCTAGTCTTTCCTTAGTGGCGAGTGAATATGCATAAACTTATATATTTTATATTACGTAGCTATTACGTGCTTTAAAATAAATTTCGCTCCACTATGTGCAAACCCTCAAGTTGTATGAAGGGGAGAGAGATAGATCCGCAATGATATCGTGCGGGCCTCTGTGATCTAATGGTATACCGCTCGCCAAGATAGCGAGAGATTCCAACTAGCCTTGATGAAGTATGTTTGATACGATTTATGACATCATGTTCCTATATATTTGAGCACTGTATTATTATTATTATTATTATTATTATTATTATTATAATATATATATATATATATATATACACGTGTAGGCCTATATATAATATATATAGTGGTTATAGCACATTACAACAATGTGTTTATCATCTAACTTAGCCTATTATTATTTCTTCTATTACTCCAAATAGTATTATCTTAGAATGATCATTATGGCATTGTTATAATATTCATTGCTGTCGTCATCATCACCATTATCATCGTTATCTTCATCTTCATCATAAATCGTTATATTCACGATCATCAACCATCACTTCCGTCATCATAATCATTATTATCCTCAAATCCCACTTATTATTATCATCATCATTATTATTTATCATCATCAATCATCATCAACAACATTCATCACAATCATTCATCGTCATTATCATCACGTATATACTGTAGTTTGTGTCATTGTTACCCTTGTCAAATCCCACTTATTATTATCATTATCATCGTCATCATTATTTTTATTATCATTATTATTAATGTTATAAATTATTAATATTAATATCAACATCATCATTATCTTACTAATACAATGAACGTTATCAAGCAGCGAGGCGTGTAGTTATTCCAGCCAAAGCACTCGCTGTAAAATTGTTCCGTAAGCGAGCGTTAAACGAACCCACCCCAGGCGCATATTAATGTGATCTAATCATTGGCATATATAGTAATGTATGACTTTGCAACGATTATGTTACAAATCAGACACAAAAACATACCGTAGAGCATTATGAACATACACAGTATTAAGTGATAGGCCTATACAAATATATATAATTATATATAGACATGAGCTATGAGGCCAAGGGGTAGGCCTGTATCAAGTCCTTGCTGCTTAGCTGTATTTAATATATAAATCAAATAGATAATAATACAGTGCTCAAACATATAGGAATATAAATCGTGTCAAACATCATCAATAAACGTTCCTTATTACTAGGTGTATGAAAAAAGAGGTCTGTGGTGGGAATCGAGCCCGCAATGCACTATCTCAGCGAGCGTCATACCGTTTAGACCACAGAGGCCCGTGTGATGTTATTACGGGTTTAAGACCACTAGTCTGTCTCAATCC